TTATTATTGAATTCGAATGTAATCAATGGTCCAATACATGCCAATATTGCTTCCATAGATGACCATGCTGTTTCAGATGATGAAAATAGTGATTCAACAGATGATAATGATGTTCCAACACATGCCAACATCGCTCCACACATTTTAGAACGCACTAGTCTGTGGTTATTGACAACTATCATAAATAATATTTTAAAAAGTGAACCGAATTTATTGAATGAATTTCTAAAACGAGTAAAACCAAAATTAATGGGACTTGATGACGAGCAAGTGGATCAACCAGAAGTGCCAAACCTCTACCATCAGTTTGTGCCACAATTTCAAGATACTGATGATGATGATGATAAAAATTTATCGAATGATATTCTCATCCCTCATGAACTACAGCGGGTTGTTCCAACTCCGATGGCACCAGACGTTCGGCCAGCAGTACAAGTGATTGATCTTCCACTATTAGAAAAAATAAAAAGTTCATTAGGAAAGTTTGAATACAACAATGATAGTCTACTATATATTTGGAAAACGATTATGATTATTTCGAGTGAAAATGCAATGAATACGACTCAACAACTTATCATTGCATTGCACAAGCATGTTACAAGTCAATTAACTAGTTATCCATTAGCTGAAGCCAGTTTTCAACTTCAAACTTTACTTACCGATTCCCACTCTCCAACTGTACAAAAGTCGATCGAGATTTTTAATGAATATCTAATGCACACACAAACTAAGCCATTATTTTATCGTCTATTATTACATCCAGGCGTAACTGAAGAACAACTCGAAAATTTTATGTCACCCATTCGTCAGTTAGCCCGAGAACTATCTCATGTCGAATTCGTTGTTTTTTTCGACGAAGTTAATACGGCATCATGTCTTGGTCTGTTCAAAGAGATGTTCATGGATCGAACATTACACGGACACAGTCTACCGGAAAATATCTTCTTCACGGCTGCTATTAATCCGTCTATTAAATTAAGTGACGATACTGTTGTTCATCGACAAAATTATCTGGTGCATCAATTGCCACAAGCATTGGAAAACTTAAAAGTTTCTTATGGAGCCTTAGAGCCGGCATCATTAAAAGAGTATATTGACAAAAAAATCGCCAAATTTCGTATTAATTCTTTAAATAATAGTCAGAAAGTGATGCCATTAGAAGAATATGCCCGAGAAATGCTTGCTGAATCTATCCTTAATGCACAGCATTTCTGTGAAAAATATCTCGGTAAATTATTCATTTTGTATTTGAAAATATTCCTAGCAATTTTTATCTGTACTAGGACAAAATTCTGTGTCCCAACGTGAAATTCAAAGATGCTTTAATTTAATTGAATTCTTTTGGCATATGCGATTTGATGATGAGATCGAAAATGACGGTAACTTGTATCAACCAAATCCTATCCGATGTATTGCATTATCATTGGCTTTGATTTATTATTTTCGACTACCAACAGAAGAAGATAATGCACAACGAAATGATAAACAAACGCCAACACGTGAACAACTTGCTAAATTACTTTCTCAAACTATACCAGATTTTGTTGATGTCATTCAAAATGAATTGGATAGATTTGTAAATAGTGACAATTTTGTAATTCCACATGCTGTTGCTATCAATCAGGCTGTAAGTATTGAATTATATACTATTTTCATACTACTAAAATCTTTCTACTTTGAAGGTTCGCGAACATATATTCGCTATTGTTGTTAGTATCGTTACTCGAACACCATTGTGTATAATCGGTGCGCCAGGTTAGTAAAACTGTTGTGTATCAGCTGTAACTATGACGCTAAATATATATTTCATTCAAGGTCAATCAAAAACATTATCATTTCAAATTGTTTTACAAAATTTGCAAGGTTCACAATTATCGATAAAACCATTTTGTAAACGTTTACCAGCTATTGATCCATTCTTTTGTCTCGGCTCGAAATATAGTCGCTCTGAAGATATTGCTTATATATTTGAACGAGCTCTTAAACGTGAGCAACAATACGAACAAAATCGCATGGATACACGTTGTGTAAGTGCTTTGTTTTGCAATTGGAGTAAATTAATATCTTTAAATTGTTTTTTTTTTCTTCTTCGTAGGTTGTTTTCTTAGACGAAGCGTCATTACCCGATGAAAAGAAAATGGTACTTAAAGTTTTACATCCCTATTTAGATGAATGTAAAGTTGCATTTGTGGCTATTGCAAATAAATCATTTGATGCTGCTAATGCAAATAGAATGATTTGTGTTTATCGTTCATTGCCATCTAGAGATGATCAAAATATTTTAGCTTATGGTTGTCTTGGTCTAAAAATGAAAACTAGTGGCCAACAAGCAGTAGACAATCGTCTTGAAGCAATAATCAATGGTCTTTGTCAAGGATATCGTCGTATATTAGATACGCCGAGTGTTCCTCACATTTATCATGATCGTGATTTTATTTATATGCTGCGAGAATTAAGATTCGAATTAACAACAACAACAACAGATGATCAAGAGACACGCGTCACTGGAATAACGCCACTAAGTCTTCTACGAGCATTAGAAGATAATTTCAATGGAGTTAAAAGAGATGAATTTGAAAAATTAGTTGAAATATTTTTTCAAGCTGTTCAAGAGCAATGTCCTGACTTTCGACTACCACCAAATCGTCGTAATGTACCGACTATTCTACGTGAATCAATGAAACTTGATTCACAACATCGCCGTCTTTATGGTCGTTATAAATTAATCATTGATGAATCCGAAGATGAAAGTGCTGTTCGTTTAATATCGCAAAATGGAATAGTAGATCTGGATCCTAATCGAACAACTGTTTTTCGAATGTCAGATTTTGCCGATGATATTCATAATGAACTACGTAATGTTGAAATATTATCAACAATAAAATTATGTATGGAAACAGGTAAAACAATATTGATGGTCAATACAGGACGAATTCATGGTTCCCTGTATGATGTTTTTAATCAAAATTTTTCAATAATGGCTACTGGAGATATGAGAAAGATCTTTTCAAAAGTCGCCATAGGTCCTAAAACAATTGATGTTGTTGTTCATGAAGATTTTCAATGTATTGTACATGTCAAACGAAGTGAATTCGCGACGATTCCAGCACCATTTCTAAGTCGTTTTCAAAAATATTCCTTGAGTGTCAACGATTTCTATCGAATTCAATTCGAACAACTTTCGATTAATGAACAGACAATTATGAAAAATGTAGAAGAAAAATTACAGATATTCATTCAACATTTTGGACGACAATATTTTTATGGATTAAATGAGAATACATTATACTCTTGTTTATTATCACTTATTAAAAAAAAAGAAAATGATCAAAGTTATTTTCTTAATACTTACCAACATTATTCACAATTAACCATTAGATCAAAACATTTTATTGAACAAAATCCAAGTGATATTCAATTGTGTGTGTTACGTTCAGTAATATCAAAATTGATTCAACTTGTTTCACCCGAATCAATTATTTTGAAATTACCAACTTTTGAAGATAAAATGGCACGATGGTTATGCACAAATTATTTTCATCAACAAGAGCATTTTCATATTGAGAATTTTATTCAACAATTAATATCAAATCCATCTCTGGGCCTTCAAAATGACGATTTATTAACCACAATGAATACAAATGTAAATACATTAAATGATATTGGTATTATAAGAAAAGTAATGATATTTACACGAACATCATCTTATATCGTTGGTCTCAATGAACAATCGAACTATGAACTATTTGGTGGTTTAGATGATAATGAATATTGTGACAAAATTGAAAATATTGATATACTAAATTTGGTCAGTTTTTCCTATAGACTGGCCAGGTTCACCATGAAAACACTAGTTTTCCCTTCGTGTGCACAATCCCTGTGGGACTAAAACAAGGGGAAAGCGGCGGACTTGAAGTAGAAAAGTAGTTGTGCAACTTTTATGTAACTTCAAGTAAATTTGAAGTCGAAAAATTCTTCGAAGTTTACCGCTGGAAGTAGCTCAAAGTTACTTCAAGTCCAAAAGCTCGGCGTTTCCCCTTTGGGTTAAAATATAAAACTGCTTTTCTGGAACCCGTCTACCACAGTCAGTGAGTCTTTGCACATTTTCTATTACGATCTGTGGTGACCTATGGAGCTTCTCTGACATGATCTGTGGGGCTCAAATGTCTACTCTATATACTTTAACACTCCTTTTAGTTTGTGTCTCACAAAAGATACGACTACCAGTTGTCGAGTTAAGTCATATCAATAGTCTCCCCCCCACCCCACACACACCCTTCCACTCTTACTCTAATACATCTATAACAAATATATATCATTTAGGCTGTCATCGAAAATTCGATGGAACTCGAAGAAAAATTTCAAGTCTTTGAAAAACATGAAACGAAAAATGTTTTAATCGTTATTATCAATGCACGAATCATTCAACAACGTTTACACATTCCATACGTACGACAATTAATTGATAAAACAGAATATTCGTGTAATGCACTCGATAGAAAACAAGATAAATATTTTCTTATGCTGGTACATTCGCCACCACAAGAACAATATCATCAGTCATCTTTTCCCTCCATTTTCTTGCACAGTTGGGACTTTTATTTCTTCGATAGTTGTGCACCAGGTAGTGCATTTCATCTCCAAAAGATGTTACAAATTGTATCATCCTCTTTCGATCAACAACAAGAATCATTCGATAATGCTTTATGTGATTTAAATATATTATTCGATGATTGCTTGTGGGACTTTTGTTCACGAATTCAAATAGGTTTACAAGAGTTACCACAAGATATGTTTAAGAATAGATTCGCTTTTGAATTCTACAAATCGCAAACAAGTACATTACGACGTGTACAATGTTTAAAACAGATTCTTCAACAATCACGACAATTACAAAATCACATTGTAACCATTTATCATGATCATTCATCGAATAAAAAAGAATCCTCAAAAAAGATTTACAATTCAATTTATCAAATTTCTAAAGATATTGTTTGTGGCAAACGATTCGATGGTCTAGTCGAATCTATTCAATCGGAAACTCGGATGTCATTTACAAACTTTGTTTCAAATGTATTTAAATTTATCGTTAACGATTATGGTTTGGAAACTTTATCAACATTATCAAATATGCTAAATGGATATGGTTCAATGTTAGAATTAATCGACTATTCATCGTTTGCAATAGATGAGAATCAAGATAAACTTTCTCCAATACAACAAGGAATATTTCAACTCATTACACATTATACTTGTATTCCACAAACACCACTCTATTATTTATTTCATCAACGAATCAAGACCTGTGCTGAAAATATCAATTTAAAGCAAATTCTCAAACAAACCAAGCAAAAAGGTTCGCATGAATTTGTATCTTATAAGAATTCTCCGAAGTATTAAGGCAGGACATTTGTATAGATTGCTCAAAGTCACATTCCTACTTAAAATTTCATAGAAATATTTCCTCTCTTCTATTTAGGGAAAGATGATGTTCCACGCCAACATTATTATTCCGTTCCACCAATTACCACAGCTGATAACAATTGTGATGATGGCGATGATGAAAACGAACAAACTGAATATACATTCGAACAATTTCGATATGAATTAATGAAATCAATTTTAAATGATAAAATTTTAACTGATATCATTAATGAAAACATTCTTAATTCTTATTCAAATGATCTTGTTCGAACATTTTGCACCATTGTCGAGAAAAATTTCGATGATAATTTTATCCTATGCCAAAAAACAGTCGAATTTGTTTCACGTTGGTTATTACTCGTCGATGATAATGATCAACAATCTCTATCAGAGTGTTCAAATAGACATATTTGGCTTCTCGCTCATGCTTATACATCATTTGAATATGATCAAAATGATCTTTTTTCTCTATATTCAGCTTGTCGAATTATGGATAGACTCGATTCAACCCAATCATTTTATGATCGTCTATTGCACGATAATCATATAACAACACGTTCCGAAGTACGTGAAACATTATTTCGATTTATGTTTGATTATCTATGGAAAAATCTTTGTGAATTTTGTTCAAAAAATAATACAAACGATGAATGGATTCATATTTATACATTTATTTCGAAATATTATCCATCAGATAAAGTTTTACAACGTATACAACTTATTGAAATCAAAGAACAAATTGAATTTATGAATTTAGCATATCTTATTCTAATCAATGATACAACACCTGAACCGAAAAATCTTATATCTCGTCTATTGAATGATATACATCTTGTTCATATCAATAATAATAATAATATATTTAGAAATCAAAGCAAATCTGTCTATCTGAAATTATTGGTCACTATTATTGATTATATTCAATCATATTTAGAAAATAGAAATGCTCAAAATTCAACATTAATGATCGATTTACAACAATGGATAGTTTCCATGTTAAAATCATCTACAGAATCATGTAAAGAAGAAATTGGAAATCTTTTTATAGGCTTAAATAAATCAAGTTATCGTTTATCATTACCTATGAAACAACTTTTATTCGATAAATTAGCTAATTTATATTTAGAATCTGTACGACAAAATAGACCAACAACCGATGCTTGGGATCGTCTTATAACACTTTTACCATTGGTTATCGAATGTCTAGAAGATGAAAATGTTTTCAATGGATACCAATTGCCTTATCATCCATCGATTATAACTGATGATAATAATCAACGACAACCATTAATCGATTTATTCTTTTTCTATCTTCAACGATATTTTCACGATGAAACAATTAAATGTAGTTTTGTTAATAAAATCATACGACCAAACTTACCAAATACAAAATTTAAATATCCAAAATTAGCGACAGAAATTTTCAAGAAATTAAAAGATTATTTTCTAGTACGATTAACTGCTTTACTTCTATGTCAAACAGATGTATCTCCTGATGATCAGCGAATAATCAGTCGAATTACAACGGCAATTATTACTGAATATTTGTTGATTGATCGAACAGCGATTCAACTTACTCAGCATCTTCAAATATTTCTCTCAACTATTATATCAAAACGATCGTGGAGTTATCTCTTCATTTTATTAAAGTCGGATCATATACAATGTTTGAATAGTCAATGGGCAAATACTCTTTGTAGTCTATTAGAAATGACAAAGACAACAGAAAATAACAAATATATTCAATTATGTCATAAAATACAGTTCACGTTATCGTCAAATAATGCATCCTCTATATTTCCTAAATTGCATCAAGCATATGAACAGTTGAAAGACATTGTACGTGAATGTGTCACGGAAAATGTCGTTGAAGGACGATGGAAGAAGCTATCGGATTGGGTTCAATTACAACAAAACATGAATCCTCCTGTCCTGGATTTGAAAGAAATCAAAATCATGTTATTATTAAATATTTATTATGATTATTATTGCAGTAACCAGTTGGAGTCTCTTAATACGCTCATAGTATTCATTGAAAGCACATTGGAACCATTACCAGAAGAATTACAAGTATTTCGTGTTATGTTGCAACCTGAACAATTTATGATTGGATACCCGAGAAGAAATGGGAATGTAGAAAATAATTTTCTAAACAGTTTATTTAAAGTTGATTGTCAAGATGAAGACGAATTATGTATTCGCCATTCGCTTGTGAATCTCATTGCTATGATTCTAATGGGTGGAAAACAAAGTTTCCTTTGGACATCTACATTCAATCCTTTGAAACTACAGAATACATTTGGTAAGTATTCATTTGATGAAATTTTTCTATTGACTGCGGTGTTGACTCTTGCAGTCGACAAATTCTTTCGAAACAAGAAAATAATTTTTAGATCCAACCAACTCTACACATGTCGATAATCAAAGAAAATAATTTTATTTATTTTCTACATTAGGGTTTGGATCAACAGCACATCAAATCATTCAAAGTAACGGTGTACATTATGATTGTGGTTGTATTATCACACAAAACGGAGATTTAATGCAATTCGAACGAGCACATGCGAGTGCACTCAATGTGCCAGCTGTTTATGTTGCATATTTTTCAACATTTGGTGCTTTAGTAAGTTATTTGTTCATCATAAGCGTATCATCGTTTTCTTAATATTATCATATAGGCTTGGCATTTATTATTATTTAGTGAATCTGTTCAAAATCTTCATGGTCCTATATTAGCACGACATGCTATTGCTGATAACACCGCTGAAGGTCGTCTTGCAGGCAATAACGATCGAACGAAAGTGTGTCATTTTATTCGTGCTCGATTATTGTCGACGTTCAGTTTCTTGTCAGTACGTTCGAATCAAGATGATGCATGCATTCTTTTGAATCGTTGCTTTGAACAAATGGCTCTGTTAACTATTAACCATCAACAAGCAGAAAATTCTTGGATTAAACCCGTTTTTAACACGTTAAACGATGAATTGAAAGCTGAAGAAGAATATCAAAATCATGTATTCTATTTTGTACATGGAAAATTAGCAGAATATAAAGCATACATTAATCATTTGAATTTACAATCACAAATACAAACAAATTTACAAAATTTTATTACACAAATGCCAATTACCATTCAATTTCTACATTTTAAAACTGAATTGCACAATCCTATTCATTCTGCGCTACCACTTAAAATCTTACGACATGTTCTTGATTCTATGGATTTTCTTAAGATTACTAGATGGATCTATGATCTTAGTCAATTCTATATTCTTCTACATCAAACATACACTCAATTAATTGAACAAAATGAATTTCATACAATAACGTTAGAAGAATTGTATAATCGAGGTGAAAAACATTTCAACCAACCAAATAATTTCGAATATTATCATAGAAACAATAATTATTCATCAATTATTGATAAAGGAATTCAAAGTGTCAATGCCTATCACAGCTTTACTGATGGTCTCATTCGACCGGGTGCTTGTGATCAAATGCAACGTTTCACCATAATTACACGGGACACACCCATACACTATCTAGTTACAACAGCAAATTATGATGAAGGAGATATTGTTATGCGCATACTCAGGTATTTCTACTTAGAATCTATTCATTCTATATGACACAATTGTAATTCCATGGGCCATGATAACGAAAAAATCGGATCCCTTTACATACTGTACTTTTTCACTTGACTATAATCGTATCTAATAAGCAGTATCACTCCTTGACTAGCTGATTTAAAATATGAGTTGCCCAAAGCATTCAACAAGAAAGATCAATATCTTTAATTCACAGTAGACAATATTCTATGACAGAAATCTGTACATCGTTGCTCTACATATATCAACTTTTAGTGATGCGAGCTATCCTTTTTTTGATCCTACCTGAGATAAACTATTGTTTTTTCCATGATTAAGCTCGAACTCTAGTATCGACTACGGTCTTTTTTACCTCGTATGAAAATCGATCTCTCAATTCTTGTTCTTCTTTTGATTTCGTAGCTGAAAAGAAAAGTCAATGGACTTCAAGAAAAAGATCATGTATTTCCTAGACTTTTATTAGACTTCGTTTTATGTTGCGTATTTTAGTGTTCTAATCGACTATCACAATAGTCTATTGAATTCGCTCGAAAAAGAAACGAATGAAAATGACAACAATATGTTTGGTACGTTAAAAAGTTTAGCTAATAAATTAACTTCAAAAGAAGTTTCAATTCTTCAAATTATACATGATAATACTGGCGTAATTACATTGACCGACAATGATTGCCTATGGATCGAACAGTTGTCTTGTGCTACTCTTATCAATGACAACGATGAATACTTTCAAAAAGCTGATACACAAATTAATTTTAATTTTGTCTATCTTCAATCGTATATTATTCGAACATATCTTTTATTATGTCGTATTAATTATCGGCATATCATTCAAAATTATCGATGTCATATTAAACGAACACAAATCAGCACCGATGGCGAACTATTAGATCTTGACGAAAAGTATTCGATTCAAATGAATCGTGAACAATTAGAAACCGATTGGAATCATTTGAAAGAAATATATTTAGATAAATTATATCATGGTCATAATCTACTACGACAAATAGCTATTTTATTGAAAAATAATCAAGACGATTTGTCTCAAGTAAATCTTTATGAATTTATCCAATCATTAGGAGACGATAATCAGTTGTTCAAACAAACAAAACAATATGAAATTAAAGATTTTCAATTATGTTATATTGATCATGTTCGACAATTATATGCTAATTCAATTAGTGGTTTTCAACATTTATTTACTGATATATCTCAATTGCTTCGAACTTCAATTGATTATCAACTTGATGAAGAACTCAGTCAAAACTTAACAGCAACAATAATTAGCATTGATGATAATAAAGATATTGAGAAAATAAAATCAACAATACAAACAATAACTGATCTATTAACGGATTTGAGATCAGTTGAACATTTTCTACTGCGTCAATCGAACCATTCATTAACAAACACGTGTGAAATTTTAGAGATTCAAAATTCTATTCTTGATTTAATACCACATGAAATAAAATGTGAAAATTATGTTGCTGTTAGCATTCATTTGATTCGCATGCGAACAATTCTTCAAGAAAGAATTGTCAATATCGAAGAGAAGCAAAGTAAACAATGGAATGAAAACTTTGACGTTCAATCCAATGACCAACAGCCGGAACAAGAAAATTGTTTTCTTAATTTTCTCAATGAACCATCAACATCGGATACAACACCGAAAAATAACACTGGATCAGATGATGATTATGATGATATATGGAGAGGAATTCCGAGTAGTATACCTAATGAACTGATAAAAGATAATTTACTTGGCAAACAAGATTTTCCTCAACAACGTCGAAATTCAACTATTCAACAAACAACAATCGAAGAATATTTAGAATATTCATCTCTATTTGAATTAAATCTTAAATTTGTTCCGTTAACATTATCAACTTTATTCGATCAAATTCATAAACAATTTGAGCAAGCTCAAACCCAAACTGTGGCCTTGAACAAAGCACAAAAATTCGTTGTCACATATACAGACGGAAAGTCACGCGGATCTTTGTGGAGGACTGAAAATTTATTTGAAAAACTCCGTAATTTGTTCGAGAAAGAGAAATTCGATATGAATACATATACTGTTATTGATAAAAATGAAATTTGTGTCGATTTCACGAATATAAATGCTCGATTACCGCATGAAATATCTCTCGAATATTTTATTATTGAAAAAACTCTGTTATTTTCAATTCAATTTAATTATCAGAAAAAATTATTCGACTATTCCGCTACGTCTAAAAGTAATATATCTACAATAATCGATCGTTTTATCCATGATAATGACATCAAACTCTTATCAAACAATAACTACCTCTGTTTCTTCGATGAGCATGGGAAAACTATCGAAAATGGAACCATCGCTGATCTAATTAATCAATCAGATCATCCTGACAAGAAAAAAATTTCGATAACAGTCAACGAAGAAGATAATAAAACGAGCATGCTGTGCGAAATCACTATACGATCGAAACAAAGTAATAAGTTTTTTTTAATCTTGAACTATACTAATATTCATTGATTTAGATAATGAACAAATCAGTTTATTTGATCCAAACACGCAATGGAAACAGATTGATCAATGGTTGAAACATTTCAATCAATTCATCGATGCTCCTATAAACGACTATGCTTATCTTCATAAAGAGCTAAAAACAATCATCGATGAAAATCAGTCGATTAGTTTTATCATTGGTGAACCAACAAAATCAATAATCATCGATGGAGTTAATCGAGGTGCGACAACTCAAGTGACATTCTCCTATGAAACCAATTGTGTATCATTACGTGTACTAAAGTCGATGAGAATTTGTTATATATTAAATAATGAACGTCTTCTAAGAGAATTGTGTCTTATTGATATATCTCCAAATGATTGTGTTCTTGTATTAGGAGAAGTCAACGAAAAAGTTTTATCACAGAATGATATTCAACAGCCTATTAGTAATTATTTCCTTAGTGAAGATCAACCAATTCATTTTCGAATATCAATCGCTGTTCAAATATTGAAATATGATGATGAACAGCCTATACAAATTCTTCTGTCAAATAGAAGTGCAACTATGGAACATGTCTTTCAATTGGCAAAGGCTTCAATTGATATCTACAAATATTTAGCTTCGAATTATACAAAGAAGATCGTCGATTTTAGTGAAAAACTATCAAATTTGAGGGATACAAAATTTATTCTTGTCAAAGAACATGAAACATGTCTCGTAGCAATTGAAAAATCAAAAATAAGTCAATTAATTGATGTCGACGATGAGGCCAACGAATCTTATTATCAACGATTTACTATATTTGCTACGATCGGCGATATTTATAGAGAAAATAAAATAGATATCGATCATCAACATCTTCTATGTTCTGAAGATTTTGTTCCATCGATACAAACCAAGGTACTTTCATTTTCATCCGTCTCACCAATTCGATTTACGTTGATTGATGGAAATTTACCAGTAACAGTAGTTGTTCTAAATAATGAAAATCAAAAATCAATCACTTTTAATTGCTCAATGACGATCACGGTGAAGCGTTTGTCATTCATTGCTTGTCAATTGTTCGGTCTTAACAGCAATTATTATCGATTGAAACAATCAGATTATGATCTCGATGATGATACTGTTTCTTTAGAAGATATTGATTCCACGATGACTCAAATCGAATTACAGTTAATTTCAATAGCATCCATCAACAGTTCGATCAAATATGGCAATCAAACAATTGTCTTGCCCTGTTCTTGTGATACATCAACAGCAACAATCATTGATGAAACATTGCAGAAGCTGTATCTTCCACAAGAAAGTCATCATATGTATGAATTAACTGCATTGGTTGACGATGGGATCCCTATAGAAGAGGTTATGTCTATTGAGGATATCTATGCATTATTTCCTTCTCGTCCGACAATGATACCGTTCGAATTAACAAAAAAAATTGACTAGAAATAAATTCGTTTTCTAATTCATTTAATAAGAACTTTCATTTCAACGTTCACTTTTATTTTAAACATGACCCAGGAGAATCAGGGTACGTCGGAATCGGTTCCGTTGAATCCCGATGATTTCCTAACTTACGAATTCCGGTCCAAATTTCGTTGGGACCATTTCCGATCAATTCCCATCGGTTCCATCGATTTCCGACGAATTCCGGGTCAAAATTTTGCGGAACTTAACGGAATTTTTCTGGCGGAAATCGGACCGGAATCCGTTAGTAGGAAATCGTTGGAATTCAACGGAGCTGACCGAAAAGCAACGAAATCCATAGGATCCGATGTCGGAAACGATCGGATCCACTGGTCGGATTGAATCTCCTGGGGAGACTAAAATTTACCTTTTCAGCCTTTACTATTTTATTCAAATTACATATATACTTGAAGATTAAAAGAATAAAAAAAAGTTTTATTTATGATTTTTTTCACAAACTTTGCCTACGAATTGCAATCAACGTTTAGCAAATCTAAAGTTGTATAATATATTGCTATAACTACATTTATCACTGACGTGTACAGACGCCTAGTTGCTCAACAACCGTAATATTTTTGAAACTATACAAACAGATTTTTCTTAATGAATAGTCATTGAGAATCCATCGAAAACTATTTCAATGAAGACAATCTAAATTTTCACTCAAGAAGTTTTGTTCCTCTATAAGATTCTAAGCTCGCAAAAAACTTGAGCCACTTTGAACAGTTTTGAAAAGAAATAAAACTACTAAAACTGATATTATTTATTATATAATTCAATCCTACATTGTTGCAAAAACAAATTATTCAACAATATTTAATTGAACATAGTCAAAAAAGATATTTCGAAGACTTTTATTTTGTCCACTGTTTGATTAGACCAATTAGTATTACCATGTAATAAATAGTTTGATCAATCTTCTTTTAGACTCGAAATTTAAGGGTATTCTTAAAACCCTTAATAGATTTTTCTAACCTAATACATACAGAGATAAGTCAAAGGTGAATTTAATCTAAAATACAAAAGTCTCCAGTTCTTCAATAAAATAGTAACAACATACTTGTACTTTCATTTGAAACATAGAGACATGCCCTAGATGAAAACATCCGTTACGTATATGATCAAATCCAGTACTATTCCCGATGCGGTATTGTGGGGACCAAGATTAAAATAAAATACGGTTCGTACACGTACCGTATGTCATCGTAAACGGTCGTATCCGATAAAAATATGGATAACCATAACCTTCATCTTGAAGCGTAGCATCTAAAAAAGAACATCATTATGTATGTTAGATACTTTCTTAATAGATTAAATTCGTAAAGAAAACTTAGCGTTTCTCTTTTATTCGAAATGGTTTTACTGACTTGAAGCATTATATACTCAGTAATTATAATTAAGAATCAAACTCAAAGAAGTAATATAGGAGGCATATTAAATTGCCATTTTTTTCTATAGGACATGTTATCGAGCTTGATTTCACGAAAAGATTTCATACGGATGCTAAAAGATGAAAATTTTTGTTGAGGTTTTAATGGTATGTTCATTTTTTTAATAATGATGAACAGCTACTCTTTTCTATTATGTTTTATATTAGATACCACAAAAACATCAGCTCCTAAACTTCTAAATGAAGAAACGACTTCATAACTTAACTTTTCTTAGCTAGATTGAGTTAAAAGATTTATTTATGAGGTT